TGTCAGACCTCTTCCCATTTGATTGTCGGTTTCATAATTCGAATCAGTTATGAACATTTTGCAAGCATTTGCAGCATCAGGATAAGTAGCAGTAAAAGAAAAAAAATTGATGAGACAATAAAAATGTATCTATTTTGCAGGCTTTTAGCCAGGAATATTAAACTGCGATAACAAAAATACTTTTTTAATATTAAAAAGTACTCATAACATATATTATACTAAGTATTTTACAAATTAATCTATTAAATATATTACAAATTACTACAATAATTTTTTTCTATAAGTATTCAGATAATTGAGAAAGTAATTAATTTGAAATACTTTCTTTAATGCAGATAAGTCCTAAAAAAACTGAATGCAGATCAGCCCTAAAAAAACAACGCTATCGTAAAAAGGGACGAATATGGTTGTGCAACCAAGACCAGGTAGGCGCGGCCTTATGTGCCATGGGAGAGGCTATTTCGGAATTTCTCAAACTAGACACACATTCTCTGAACTCTGAAGCTCGGCTGGCCGTCGCAAAAGTTAACGTAAATCGATGGGGCTAGGATTTTAGCAGATTTTTTCTACCGCCCCTCCTTATCTAGGAGGGCTTTAATCAAACCGTCTTTTAATATCCTGGCCAAAAAGACAGCCGATGCCATTCCGGCAGATAACCTACTGTTTGGTGTTTCGTTCGGCGAGGAAATAAAGAAAGCGACCACGATGGAGAAATCCTCCAGGGACATCGTCAACGCACTCTTAACGATTTCAAAGAAGGTGCAACAACCGATCAGGCTACCAGCGCAGACTACCACTTCTAAGTCGGGAAACTCCCGCGCCCCTGTATCGAGATGGAGATCGATGGCGACGGGAAGGACAGGGGCGTCGAGCAGCAGTCGCCGATCATCAAATCACCAAGAATTCCGGACGAGGAGGCGCTAAATAGGGAGCAGGTAAATGTTGCCGGCAGACTAGCTGGTTTCCTCTCCAAATGGACGGAAATTACTTCGGATCCAGTGATCCTTCGAGCCGTGGTCGGGTACAATCTACCCTTCAGGTACCATCCGCCTGTCCCCCCTCGTGTGGGCCACCTTGTCGTGGTGAGGGGGCTTAAGGCGGGCGTTCGGCCTGGAACCGCTGTATGCCGTTTAGGCTCCGGCGGTTCCATTGGCTGGGCGTCCGCTGACTAAGAGCCCACTTGGCCGAGTTACGGCCAGAGTAGGTGGGGGAAGCGATGTCCCATGGACACTTGTCCGGAGGGGCATCGTGGATCCCCCTACGGACCCCAAGACCATAGGTCTTGGTCCGGGGTGCGACCGCCGGTGTCCCGCGGGCAATCGCTCATACGGGCACCGGGGGTCGAGGGGAGTCCCCCCTACCGGGCCCCACGGGAGTTTTTCCCGGGGGAGCTCGGGGGGGGGACGGGGGCGGACTTTTCGGTCTCCCCATGTTGGGGGGGCCGGGAATCCGTCCCGCCCGGGTAGGCGGGCTGACGAGGCCGCTCGGACGTATTCCGAGGCAGGACTCGGCAGCCTGGGGC